AACCTTTAAAAATCAGATAAGTCCTGATTAGTTTACTTATTTCATAGTTTTATAATTTCATAAATGAGTATTTCATATTTCATCATTTAAGGAAATTAATCAATTAGAATGTTGTTTGGCAAAATAGAGAATCAGAGCAAAAGGAGGCAGTATATGAAGGTATGTCATACTGTTAAGTTGGCAACTTCAATGCATCATCCTTCTCCATTACAAGGATGAATCCCGTCCACAGATGAGATTTGCCTATTAACTACGGCATCCCCTACCCAGGAAACATATTAGAAAATAGTTACTCTGTAATTCACCTTTTCCTAATCTCTTTGAGGACTATAGTCTTTCTCTTTGCTCTTGTTAGGTTGCCCTTCTTTATTTATTTTCAAATCTTGGTTAATGGCCTCATCATCTAATTAGTCAACCTAGCTGGATCCTAAAATATCCTTAAACTTCTTCCTGTATCTTGTTCCCACTCCTGACAAGCCAGACCTTGGGATGCCAATTTAGATGTAATATCCAGGAAACTTGAATGGACCCCAAATATGGGGTATTATTGGTGGTGGGGTTCGCAAGGGTGTGGTCCAAGAACAGTGAATCAGAGAGCTGGGTAAATTTCCAAAGGAAGTATCACATCAAGGGGCTAGACAAGTGACATTCGTACCATCTGTGAAATGTTGTAAAATACAGATGCTCAAGTCTCCCCACAAGAGATGTCATTTAAAAATGCTATCACCGAATTTATCAGTGACTTCCTTACCACTAAATCCAATGGGCATTTTTTTAACCTCATCTTGACTGAACTCTCAGCAGAATTTGACACTCGCAGGAAAAACTCTGCTGTGCTTCTTTGGCACTATGCTCTGCTGTTCCCTTCTTCCTCTCTGGCCAAGGCTTCCAGTCTCCTTTTCCAGCTTTTACACTGTTTAGTCTTCAAATGTTGATGTTCCTTGAAGCTTGCTCCTCAACTCTTCTTGCTCCGCAAACTCTTTCTGACAACATCATATTTTCACTTACTGTATACATACCAAAGACTTCTACAAATATATCTTCGGATTAATAAATGTTCATTTAATTCATAAACAAATAAATGACAAACATTTCAAAAATGTGTAATTACTTTCTCTTCAAACTCACTTTAGTATATTCTTGGTGACATGGAAATCACCCTTATCTCACAATATCTCCAATCCTTAATTTCTATAATCAGTAAATCCCGGAGTTTGAAAATTGGTATAAACTTTAATACAAAGAGGTTCTCTTCAATGATCTATCTTCATTTTGACTTGCGAATTAGTCATCTAACATATTGTTGTTTATCCCATTGTATCTAGTATAATAATTTACATATAGAGTTCAGTGAGAATGTATTGTATGTTTGATTTTGTTTATTCCTTAATTTCCCTAGAGGAGGCCAAAGCAAAATTTGAGTTACTTCTATTTGATATAATCTGATATAATTTTGTGTGGATTGATCCCACATAATAACATCTTTCTTTCAATTTACGCTTTTTTGCTTTGGACTATTCAATTTCGGGCTATATTCTTTCTAGAAACTAAAAATATCACAAGTGATTTTTGTAGAAAAAGAGTATATGGCTTTGACAAGCCTAGTAACTAAAATCAAGCAATTAGAGACTGTCATAACTGCACAGAAACTGCATAGAAAATAAACTACTTATAAATATCTACATAGCCAATGTTTTTAAATAAATATTTCAGTACAAAAGTGTTTGCCATATTATATATCTTACTCTGCTCCTTATCTTGTCTCATTTCTTCTAGTAATAATTCTTTGTACTTTTACAGAGTAATTCAGAAAAGAGACATCCTTTCTTTTAATAATTTTGAACTACAAAGTCTCCCCAAAACTACCTCTAATGCATAATAATTTCTGTTTCAGCACATCTTTTTTGCCCACAGTCAGGAGAGGCAGACTTCCAAAATAAAAGATTTTTTTTAAAATAAATTGACCAGTATAATAAAAGTGAACTTAAACTATTTCAGAATTCTACTTTCTCTATGCTCAGTGCAGATGTTGGGACTGGAGTGTTAAGGAAGGGCCTATGTATAAATTCCTTCTTCATTTTTTTGTCCAGAATAAGGACTGCCCTAGATCAGCAGGGTTAAAATTGTACAGAAAATTACTCAGATGTGAAAGGAAACATAGACTTGGTTTACCTATCTCCTGAGCTTCTACTCAGTGGAGAAACATAGGGGAAGGTGAGATGGGTGAGTGCCACAAAGACCTCAATCAGTTATTGTAATATGCTCTTATCTGTTTTAAGTAAATCTCTCTCAATATTTTTCCTTTGAGATAATCCAGTTTATTTCCACCTATCTTCTCAAAATGACATCTTGCTGCAGTTTATTTTTAGCTGTAAGAGCCAACAAGTACACCCTTCACCTCAGAAATGAGGTAATAGAACTCAGGGGAAAAAATGAGAAAAATCATTTCAGAAATGACTAAACCAGAAGCAACACAGAGCATCACAACAGTGATGGTGTAAGAGAAATGGAGGACTACAAGAATAAATTTTTTTAATTGAAAAGAAATCTACAGATAAAAAGGATTCAAAAACTATATAACTAATATTAAAAATAGGCAAATAATCCATTTTATAGGTAATAGGAGTCTCAGAAGAAGAAACCCAAAATAAAAAAACACAATACTAAAAAATATGATTCAAGAAAAGATTTGAAACTACAAACTGAAGAACACCATGTACTTAAGAATAACAACCCATAATGACCAACATCAAGTCATGTTTCAGTAAAAGTACTAGACTTCAAAGAGAAAGAAAAAACCCTGCAGTCATTTAGATAAAACCAGTAAATAATATATAAAGGAGATTGAAGTAAATTGCCATAAGAATTCCAGAATTTTTAACAGCAACATATATGCCAGAGAAAGTAGAATAACAGACTTTAAACACTCAAGGAAAACTGAACCAATCACTATATAACCAGCTAAACTGACTTTAAAATATAAGGGCAATAAACTATTTGACATGGCAAGAACTTAGGAAATACTATTCGCATGAGCCCTTACTGAAGAATATACTAATGAATGAACTTCAAATTTGATTGAGAAGCATCAAAATAAGGACTGGTTATTATTAAATACATATTTACTTGTAGAGCTAAATTATATTTAGGATAAAAAGGAAAGAGAACAAAATACAATGTCTACATGTTCAGGCAGCATAGATTTTATATAATTGCAAAGAGTCGAGGATGAAGGGGAGCACATCTGCAAAAACAATTTTAACTGGTGGTGGTAGTCCAGTATTACTGTGGATATTCTTATCTTAGACTATGTGTGCAATGTAGGAAAGAGAAAAATAAATACTTATGAAATTTTCTAATTGATTATTCCTCAAGTCCTTGAAAATCAGGATCCTCAGATTCTCAATATGGAAAAAGAAGATACAGAAGTAATATAAAAGATTAAGAAAATCTCTGAATTTTACATCTCTGAATTTTAATTAAAAGTATCAATATAAATGCATAAGATTACATAGCATAGGGTTATTGGAGGTATATATTACTCTGCCTACTAAGAGCCTAGAAACACCCAGGTTATGGTCTTAAAATACCTTTTCTAACCAAAGAGGCTTGAATATCTTTGAGGAAGTGACTGATTCCAAGTCTGAGGCAGAAAATGAACAAGATGAGCCTAGAACACTTCGTTATACCAGGTAGAAAAGAGGCTATCAAAGACTACTAAGGCCATGTCAAAAATACTAAGAAACTGACTTGAAGAAGCTCCCACTGGCTAAAGAAGGAATAAATGAGCTTCAAAGGGATTACTGCAATCATACATCCATTAAATCAATGAGTTTATAATGACATTTTTAAAAGCCAAATTTTTGTTCACCTTCAGAGAATAACAGAAAAACAACATATCTTGAAAACTAGCAAACAATTAGAAAGAAAAAAGTATCATCCTGTCATTATATATCAACTAGACCACTCTATAACCAAATTGCAGATGTATGAAATTTCTCCTTGTAAAGAGTTCTACACTAAATAAATGGCCAGAAATAATAGAATTTAAATTTGACTATTTCCAAATCCCAGGGAAGTAATGAATCAATGAGCATCAACAACTGCAACCACAGAAAGAAATGACCAGACATTATGTGCCTCTTCACTACAGAACACACCATGACCTGCAGCCTTGGAGAAAGGATTAAGCAAGAATCTGATCAAGACTTTGGATCCAACTGCCAATTTGCAGAAAATACAGAAGATGGAGGAAGATGCTGACTCACACTATGATTATGTAATTTAAAAATCCTCACTGTAGATAACTGTTCAGGTCAAATGCAACAGATACATTTTAAGAGAAAGAGATGGAGGGAAAACTGGAGATTGAGAGACTTAACAGCTGCAATTTTTCAATGGACAAGACTATAGTATCTATTGATATACATTTAGATAATAAAAATATTTAAATATCACAAATGATTGATTGCCAGATTAGTTTATTTCACTACATAAATTTAGTGGTGTACTATTGGGGAGGTGGGGATTAAGACTAGGGTAGGCCTTATGGAGGGGTTTCTAGAGTGACCGGCGAAATTCTATTTCTTGACCTGATTGTTTGCCTTATGAGTCATTAAGTATACATTTGTTTTGCAGCTTCTTTTGCATCTGGTTTACTTCTAAATCTAAAAGTTTTTAAAATGTTTTTCTTTAAAATGTTATTCTTTACTGCTTCTCTATTGTGCTATTAAGACAGACATGGAGACTTTATGATAAATATAAAACTGAAAAAATTTTTTACATTAAAAATATAATGAACAATCAGACATAAAGAAGATATAAAGTTTTCATGAAAAGAACTTGGAAGTTTTCTTTTATAGTAAGCTTAAGGTGTATTAATATTTAGATAAGAAAATTCCCAGGCACTAACATGGTCTTGACACATTAATAAAACAGAAAATCTAAAACAACAGAATAATCGTTGCTCTCTTCACTCTGAATGGTTGTAGGCTATATACCTTCACAGGGACCCTGACAGGCAAGGGTGCCCAGAGACAGACAAGAGAGGGAAGGGTTTCAAACCACATTATACAAGGAACTATGAGACAATGAAAAATATTTACTCTGAAAAGACTAGACTGAAAGACGTGGCCATTATCTTCAAACATCTGATGAACAGCCTGTTGAAAGAGGCATAATAGTTGTTCTCAGTGGTCCCAAGTCCAGTGGGTGGAAGAGACAGGGAGACAAATTTCCTGTCATAAAGAATTTTCTAGCCGGGCCTGGTGGCACATGCCTGTAATCCCAGCACTTCAGGAGGCTGAGGTGAGGTCAGGAGTTCGAGACCAGCCTGGCCAACATAGTGAAACCCTGTCTCTACTAAAAAAAACAAAATTTAGCTAGGTGTGGGGGCCTGCACCTGTAATCCCAGCGACTCGGAAGGCTGAGGCAGGAGAATCTCTTGAACCCCTGAGGCAGAGGTTGCAGTCAGCCAAGACGGTGCAACTGCTCTCCAGCCTGGGCAATAGAGTGAGACTCCATCTCAAAAAAAAAAAAAAAAAAAGAAGAAAAAAAGAATTTTCTGACTGAGAAAATGTAGTGAATTGCTTTAGAAAGTAAAAATTTCTGAATGAAAGGCTGGTTCAAAAAACACAAATCAATAAACATAATCATCACATAAACAGAACCAATGACAAAAACCACATGATTATCTCAATAGATGGAGAAAAGACCTTTGATAAAATTCAACACCCCTTCATGTTAAAAACTCTCAATAAACTAGGTATTGATGGAATTTATACCAAAATAATAAGAGCTATTTATGACAAACCCACAGCCAATATCATACTGAATGGGCAAAAACTGGAAGCATTCCCTTTGAAAACTGGACCAAGACAAGGATGCCCTCTCTGACCACTCCTATGCAACAAAGTATTGGAAGTTCTGGCCAGGGCAATCAGGCAAGAGAAAGAAATAAAGGGTATTCAACTAGGAAGAGAGGAAGTCAAATTGTCTCTATTTGCAGATGACATGATTGTATATTTAGAAAACCCCATCTTCTCAGCCCCAAATCTCCTTAAGCTGATAAGCAACTTCAGCAAAGTCTCAGGATATAAAATCCATGTGCAGAAATCACAAGCATTCCTATACACCAATAACAGACAAACAGAGCCAAATCATGAGTGAACTCCCATTCACAATTGCTACAAAGAGAATAAAATACCAAGCAATACTACTTACAAAGGATATGAAGGACCTTTTCAAGAACTACAAACCTCTGCTCAAGGAAGTCAGAAAAGATACAAACAAATGGAAAACATTCCATGCTCATGGTTAAGAAGAATCAATATCACGAAAATGGCCATACTGCCCAAAGTAATTTATAGATTTAATGCTATTCCCATCAAGCTACCATTGACTCTCTTCACAGAATTAGAAAAAACTGCTTTAAATTTCATATGGAACCAAAAAAGATCCCACATAGCCAAGACAATCCTAAGCAAAAAGAACAAAGCTGGAGGCATCACACCACCTGACTTCAAACTATACTACTACCAGGCTACAGTAACTAAAACAGCATAGTACAAGTACCAAAGCAGATATATAGACCAATGGAAGAGAACAGAGGTCTCTGAAATAACACCACACATCTACAATCACCTATCTTTGACAAACCTGACAAAAACAAGCAAAGGGGAAAGGATTCCCTATTTAATAAATGGTGTTGGGAAAAACCAGCTAGCCATGTGCAGAAAACTGAAAGTGGATCCCTTTTTTACGCCTTATACAAAACTCCACTCAAGATGGATTAAAGACTTAAATGTAAGACCTAAAACCATTAAAACCCTAGAAGAAAACCTAGGCAAAATTGACAAATGGGATCTAACTAAAGAGCTTCTGTACAGCAAAAGAAGCTATCATCAGAGTGAACAAGCAACCTACAGAATGGGGGAAAAATTTTGCCATCTATCCATCTGACAAAGGACTATTATCCAGAATCTACAAAGAACTTAAACAAATCTACAAGAAAAAAAAAAAAAAACCATCAAAAAGAGGGTGGAGAATATGAACAGACACTTCTCAAAAGAAGACATTTATGCAGCCAACAAACACATGAAAAAAAGCTGATCATCACTGGTCATTGGAGAAAAGCAAATCAAAACCACAATGAGATACCATCTCATACCAGTTAGAACCGCAATCATTAAAAAGTCAGGAGACAACAGATGCTGGAGAGGATGTGGAAAAATAGGAATGTTTTTACATTGTTGGTGGAGTATAAATTAGTTCAACCATTATGGAAGACAGTGTGGAGATTCCTCAAGGATCTAGAACTAGAAATACCATTTAACCTGGCAATCCCACTCCTGGGAATATACTCAAAGAATATAAATCATTCTACTATAAAGACACATGCACACGTATGTTTATTGCCGCACTGTTCACAATAACAAAAACTTGGAACCAACCCAAATGCCCATCAGTGTTAGACTGGATAAAGAAAATGTGGCACATATACAGCATGGAATACTATGCAGCCATAAAAAAGGATGAGTTCATGTCCTTTGCAGGTACATGGATGACGCTGGAAGCCATCATTCTCAGCAAACTAACACAAGAACAGAAAACGAACCACCACATGTTCTCATTCATAAATGGGAGTTGAACAATGAGAACACAGGGACACATGTGAGGGGAACATCACACACCAGGGCCTGTCAGGAGAGTGGGGGGCTAGGAAAGGTATAGCATTAGGAGAAATACCTAATATAGGTGATGGGTTGATGGGTGCAGCAAACCACCATGGCACATGCATACCTATATAACAAACCTGCACGCTCTGCACATGTACCCCAGAACTTAAAGTAGAAAAAAAAAGTACAAAGTTCTGTTTGAAGTCCGCTATCAGCAGATATAAACCTTGCTACACACACACACACACACACACACACACACACACACACGTTAATTTAAGACACCTTTATTGCTTCTGTGCCTTTTCCATTAAACTTCCCTGAACCCTTTCCAGATACTTTTCTTGTCCTTGGCAGCATTTCTATGAGTTGCATCTTACCTACCATTCGAGCCAGGACATAATGGAGTGCAAATATACCATTAGTCTGCATATCACCCTTTTTCCGGGAAACATTCTACTTTCATTTAAGGTGGTCAATGTGAGGATGATGCTGACTATACATTAGTCCCAGAGATGGGTATATGACCCAAGATAGGCCAATGGCCGGGCTCCAGCCCTATGGCCACAATGATGGTTTCTAAGATGGCCCTGTTATCCTGACTGAAGCACAATCTTCCCAAGGAATTTTCTGTCTGGGCTTTTTCTTCTTCTGGGATCTTGAGTCCTAAGGTTAGTAAGTTTAAATTCCTTTGAAACACTTTCCTTGATTAGGAAAAGCTATCTGTTATAGCAATTTAAAAGACCAGCAGTTAAAAGAAGCAGAAGAGAAAGAGATTGAAAAATTAATTCTTTAGGTCCAAATATACCTTAAGTATACCTGAATTTTGTAGTTACATAAATCAGCAAGTACCTTTCTGTTTTCTTTAAATCAGTATGAGTTGTCACTTGCAACCAAAAGAGTTCAGATTAATATGTAGAGCATATCATAGTTGTACATTTGTTTAATATAATGCTTTCTTGGATAATTGTGTTAATGAAACAAGATCTGAGAATAAACCTTTAAAGTGCAGACAGTAGTATTCAATTAACTCAGTCACATATTCACATATACAATTGTTGTTACAGAGAGTAAGATTTGGTTGAGGAACTGGAAATCATTTATAGCATAAAGCTCTGATATTCTGGATTGCAAAATTCTAATCTCTGTAAGATGAATAAAATATAGCTCTTTCTGCTTGAGAAATAACTGGCTTCTGCCTAATTTTGAATTTTTGCCTCATTATGTGCTCTGAATCAGTACTTTCACAAATGGAAAATATTAATTCTCATTAGAACCCATTTGAATTCTGACAATAGTTGCGATTTGTATTTGCATTTAATTACACTCTAGTAAAAGGAGCAAATTGGATGCAGCAGAGATGAAATCTGTTGAGTCCTAAAGAGTAAGGGAGTCTACAACAATGAGAGGGAGACTCTGGTGAAACTGGAAGTGGGTAGGTGCCTGAATGCTGTCATATTTTCACCTCCTGAATATATTACAAGAAATATCAGCCTTTCTTGGCCCTGGATTCCCAGTGAAAGTAGGGCTTCTCTAACACACACACACACACACACACACACACACACACACACACACACTCTGATCGTAGCTCCTTAAATATCAAGAAGTCACTGGCCACATTTATTACTCAAATAATTTAAAGTATGATTAAGAAGCTACAAAAGCGTCACTGTGTCTACAGTTTGACTCATTTCACTATCCTTTTTAGTTACTCCAGGACTTCAACATCTTTAAAACAGGCACTCTATGGTTTATTAAAAACATTACATTCTAAATTTCTGATGGCCGTTTTAGATATTTTATAGAGACATCTACAATATGTTTTCCCACATGCTACTGGAAATAAAACGTTTTGCTTGAAGAAGCTTCAATACTGTACTGATTCCTCTGGTTCTTGCATTAATTAATCTTCAACCAGGTTTTCAATAGCTCCGGTTCCAAAATCCTGCTGCATATCAGAGTTACCTAGGGGGCTTTCTTGTGAATTCAGTTGTGGAAATCCCTGCTCTAGAGCCCTCACCCAAAGCAGCATTGACATCACCTGGGAGATGATTAGAAATGCAGACTCTCTGGCTCCACCCTGGACACACTGAATCAAAATCCTCATTCCACAAGCTCCCGGGGTGATTCTATGCACATCAGTGTCCAAAACACCCTTATCTGCAGAGCGTGGTCAACAGAACTAGTCATACTTCTCTCCATTCCTATTCCTAGTCTACAAAATTCTGACTTCTCCTTAATTAAGAACATTATATTGTAGACAAATTTGATTGGTTCTTCATCTACACCTTATTCCAACCAGACTTTAAATCCTTAGACCACAGGTGAGAAATAAGATTTCAAACTTTTTTTTTTTTTTTTTGAGACGGAGTTTCGCTCTTGTTACCCAGGCTGGAGTGCAATGGCACGACCTCGGCTAACTGCAACCTCCGCCTGCTGGGTTCAAACAATTCT